CAGAAAATAAATCAAAAGACTCATACTAGCGGTACGCAGAACGTGAATGCAGATTACAGGCCATTTACACACCTAGCATTAATACGAGGTGGTGGTAGGTGAAAGATTACGCTGTTGATACAGTGGGTGCTGTAGACCATATGAGAATTCGGTGGATAGAGAGATTATTGAACGTGGGTGACATCATGGGTGTGTTGGTTGAAGAGGCTGCATGATGAGTGTCATCTCATTGTATCTCGTTGGCTTATTCTGTTCTCATTCGTTGGCAGTGATAACTGGCACGAATTGTCACACACGATGATGCAGAAAGATAGGTGCTTAGACACACACAAGCAGGGCGATTCCACTCCACTCAACTTCATATATGTCAATGCTATGGACCACCTGACGATGAATTCCATGTGCTTAACCATTTGTTACATATGCGCCGAAGGATCCGCTAGTCTAGGCGAGTACGAGTAGCTTATTCAAATTATTAGTCCCATAATCTCATTGCAACACAACGATGGATTTTCATTTCGCTTTATGTGAACAACATTGTTCGGTGCAGCAATATTTGAAGTGATATGACCAAGGGCATAAAACTGGTTTAATCCCTTCCGAGAATCACATAGCAGATTTTACCACTGTCACCCGTGACTCATTGGTTTGAATTTGAGAAGTAGGTAGGCTTGTGAAACAAACTAATAACAGACACGTGTAAAATTGTGTGGTGCGGTTCTTTTCACCCATGACAAGTCGTCATCGTTTATGCTAACCAAAACACCTCGCTCGTTCTTGAGAGTATTCAACACGTTCCTCAGATTACATTTTCTGTGCTGAAATTTACCAAATTTAGTGGTTAGTGGGAAAAAATAAAGCGCGATTAGGAGGAAAATTGTATGTCATAGTGAAGCTGCTTGGCTCTTCTGACACGACATTTGTTGCACAGTACAGTGTGGAACGTTATAGCCCACATAAAGCAGTCCGTGATAAGGAGTGCTTGTATATATAATTCGCACATCTGAATTAAGTCACTCATTTAAACACATCAAACTCATCAAAATTCTACACAACAACGACGCTGCGAAGTTATCTTACAAGACACACAAGCGTTGTTTGAATTCGCTGAGGGGAGCGAAGAAGATGCCTGAACAATTAACTTGTTTAGGTATAGACCAACCAAACTTGAACATGCCTTCCAATCGTGTGAATGTGAGGTTCAGCTTGTACTGCACCATCGCCATCTACGTTGAAGGATTTCAGTGCAGTTTATGGAAGTGAGTACCAATCGTTACAAGTTCCTCTTCATGAAAACAATTGACATATTTTGTAAAAACAAGCTGTTCCAAGATGTTTCAGGCGCTTACTAAGTTTTCGTCATTGTTAATGAAGCTTGGGACCAAAACTACTAGGATTCTAAATATTTCTTTATGGAGTGCCGATGGTGATCGACACATGTTCAAACTCACAGTTTGCATATACCTTACCATCAAATTTGTAATACCTACTCTGGTGCGAGGAAATCAAGAAGACCATCCACTATCTCTTGGCCATCAGCCTCATCGAGAACTTTGGGTGTTATGATCAAATTTGCTGCTCAGCAAAATTAGTCAGATTTTGCCTGGTGGCAAGTGAGAATGCCCATTGTTTGCTCTCAAAATTAATGGGTGGTACTGCTCGCTGCACCACCGTTAAAATGTTAATTGACATCTATAGCGTCAGTGCTGTTGGCTGACCTCAATATGCCATGTGCCCTATATATCAAGTACACCAACTAACTCCCAAATCCTCTGCACGTAAAGTCAAAGCTCAAGAAGTCATCTGCATCTTTGCGGTTCTTCATTCTTGTTTGTTTGAGTTGGCTCCACTCGATTTTCTTTAAGTTCACTCTATGGAGGCCAATAAGGAGTACTGTAACGACAAATATCTTGTCATTAGCTACAAACTCTGTAGACGGCACATGTAGCGTGTGCAAATCCAGAGTTGCTTACGATAGCATTTGCCCCACTTTTCCTCCCTTATCTTGCATCACATTCCTCCCTTCCCTTAAGAAGATGTGGTTTCTTTTGTACAACAGTATGCACCTTTACTTGGACTGTTTCCATTCACAGTCAGGCCAGAAACATATATTGGAATTGCTACAGAATCTCCTTCAAAATATACTGAAGCACTAACCTTCTTTCATAAATCACATTTATGATGACATGCCTGGCTACCAGCAATCATTTAAAAGAAACTGCGATCAAAGTACAGCGAAATGGGAGATGCGGTACACACTGATTATACTGATTTATTATCTCACCTGCTTTAAAGCAAAACACA